GAGGGGGGGAGAGGGGGGAGGGAGAAAGTACTTTTGGCCTCCCAAAAACTTGGCAAAACAGGCGGCTCTAAGACATGTAGGGTCAATGGATATTTAAAAACGATTAAACCGTACTGTGCCGAACCGCTTTTTAGGTTTCTTTTAATTAAACCGTAGATTTTTATATAAATCTATAACCGTATCGATAATTAGGGTAGGTTATTTATTTTATGAAAATAAACTGAAAAAATACCTAACCGTACCGAATAAATTTACATTGTGAAAAATATATTTATATATTAAGTTTAAAAATAATTAAACATTAAATATTTTTCTTGGGCCTTAGAATTATGAAACAGTTACAAGCCAACAAGTAATTAAACTTAAAATCCTAATTTTCAAATCTATTATGCTACTTCTATTGAAACTAACCGGCATATTCACTAGCAAGACACAAGGTATTATAGTGATTATGAGAAGCAAACTACAATGTATTAAATATGTTTCCTTTCATATGATTTAGATTTATCTTTTTGAATGTTTAATCTTCGATACACTTTATTCTTGAATATCAACTTGGTTAATATCTTTCAACTCGTGTGATTTATATTTTTTTTGTATTAGCTTAGTTTCTTTTACGCTGTTGTAAAATAGTTGATGGATCTATACTCTAACGATCTTTCATATTTTCTTAATTCATCACCTTTTAAACTGTAAAAATGTCTAGAGAGTACGTATGTTATTGTATTCTACTTCTACTAGTGACTTTTACATGTCATTTAAAAAACTTACCGAAAATTAACAGAACTGTACCGATACCGAAGAGAAACCGACATAATTGAGACGGTTTTGAAAAATCTAATTTTGGTTATGCATAATAGAATAACCGAAAAATTAGTATGATACAAATTTTATAAAATAACCGGCCGAACTGAACCATTGAACCCTAAAGACATGGTTTGAATACACATTTCCAAATACTAATTACTACACTTTCATCTCAGGCAATATATTAGCATTTTAACCTTCAATTTTTTAGAGATCAAGCTAATTGACCAATGGTGCTCCAACTGAGCCCTTTTAATACCTTCGAATTATGTAGCTCCAAATAGGTTCGCTTATGTAATGCTAACACTCACCTGACTGAATCAATTTCTTTGACCAAGTGATGCAATGTCAATATTTCAGATATGTCAATAGATGGAACTGTTTAAATCCATAAAAGTGCATTCCAATATATTATAGTAATCTTAAGTAATTACAACACTTCTAAAGCAACAATTAGATTACTCACCGGTAAGTATCTCAACAAAGAGAACTTGAAGAAATATGGACACAATTAGCAATTCTACATTTGATATGCTTTCATCGACAGTACGTGAATTTAATCCAAAACTTGACACAAATTTTCAATAAAAATTGCAAATTAACACTTTGTAAGGTGTCGTTCAGAAAATTACTGCTTTATTTATAGTTCTACCATCATTCATGTGCTTTTCAACAATTAACAGTAACCTCTGCGAACCAAAACCAGGAGCATGGCAGTGGTCCGATCTTTCATGATCACAACTTCAAAGACATCAGCAAAAGCTTTGAAATTCTCTGAGCCGATCACATTTTTATCCAACCAAATACCTCCAACAAATGACTTGCCAGTTGCCAGCCTCCATTTCCTCTCTAAAGATAACATTGCCAATCATCCATCCAAAAATGAAGGCAAACAAAATTATTAGTCGATTAAATAAACAAAATATCACCCTCCAACTAAAATCAAATTATTCCCCAGACCAAGTAAAAGTATTAACAGATGATCTAAACGTAATTCGAAAGTTGATTTACGAACCAAATTGCATAACTTCATCTTTTCTAATGAACTTCTCAACACAAAATCCATAGCCGCGTCAATAAAATAATTCATTATAAATTATCAAATTGCACTTAAGTAAAAAAGATTTGCATGTCAAATAGAAGAAGCCTACGAAAAATTAAAACAAAAATACCAAGATCAGTGGATATTGAAGGAGAATTAGGAAGCTTACTTCTACAAAAGAATAAGAATAGAAATCATCGCCGGCAACTTTACCGAAAAACCACTTCGGCCATTCCGTGAATTCCGACCGGCAGAAGTGCTCTCTGCCCTCTAACCACCTTGTTAAGTTAGGTGTCTTTTTGTATTGTGATGATCTAACAAACTTTATATAAGAACTAGATTGGGAACCTGTTACACATCCTCAAAGTGCTCAAGAATAACAAGTCTTATGTCTGGCACAAGTTCCAATAACTTGACTCAAAGAAACGGCAGAGGAAATAGATGGCTATCAGTTCCTCCAGTGACAGTACAAGTCAACTCTCTGCAGCTGTAAAGTCGCTGCATTGTTTCTCTGCACACGCAACAGTGCAGAAGTCACTTCATAGAGCATGCTTTGTACCGAATAATTGCTTACATCATTCCAATGACCTCACTTACATATTACCAACATGAGTCAAAAGAAAAATACACACTTGCACAACCCAAAATCATCAAGTTTCTTTCTCAAGTGTACTGCTGACTTTGAGCGACTTCAAGGCTTCAAGAACAAAGCAACAATAGAACGAAGGACCAGATCCCAGCACTATGTTATCATATGTCCTTAGTATTGTTGTACCTTTGTTAGAGTTATCTACTTGTAATTCCTACTTAGCTTAGTTAGAAGTATTCTGTAGGAAATCGTTTATAAAATCATAAACCTTATGTTTGTGTTTTGGCTAGAGTTAGTCAAAGTGTGAGCTTTATAATAGAGTTATTACAAAGAGGCTTGTAATAGAGTTATTACAAGTAGATGAGGGATTAAGAGGTTAATTCTTAGATTACAATAGTTTGTAATCTAAAGTTTTCTCAGTTAGTGAAATTGAAATCATACGAGTGTAGGTTGTGGTTTTTAATCCCGTGAGCTGGAAGTTTTCCATATAAAACTCTGCTGTGTCATTTACTTATCGTTGTGTGTATGTGTTCTGTGGGAACTAATAGAGAACCAGGTTCTTTATACAGTTTGGTGGACTCTCAGTTTCTATCATTTGGTATCAGAGCTGGTTCTTTCTATAAGACTAACACCTTGAAAGGATCCATATGGCTGCTTCACCAAACTTTGAAGAAGATAAATCAACCTACAAACCACCAAGATTCAATGGACAATACTATGGATGGTGGAAGACAAGGATGCATGATTTTATCATGGCTTAAGATTTAGAGCTCTAGGATATCATCTGCGATGGACCATTCGTCCCCATGAATGCCATTAGTGAGCCAACAGTGACAGTTCCAAAGACAAGGAAGGAATACAACGATACCGACCGCAAAGCTAGAAAAACTTCTGAGCAAAAAAGATACTCGTCTGTGGTATTCGACCAGACGAGTACAATAGAATTTTTGCTTGCCAATCTGCCAAGGAAATCTGGGAGGCTCTCCAAATCGCACATGAAGGAACAACTCAAGTCAAGCAGTCAAATATCGACACGCTCACTACTGAGTATGAACTCTTCAGGATGAAGGATGATGAATCCATTCAGGACATGCATACTCGATTTACCTCCATCATCAATGAGCTTCACTCCTTGGGAGAGATCATTCCAAGGAACAAACTCGTCAGGAAAATACTCAGTGTATTACCTGGCTCTTGGGAAAGCAAACTCAATGCTATCACAGAGGCAAAAGATCTGCAGAAGCTGACCATTGATGAGCTCATTGGAAATCTGAAGATCTATGAAATGAAGAAAAAGAATGACCATGAAAGAAGAAAACCCAAAAAAAAGAAGAACCTGGTCCTCAAGATAGACAACAATGACTCAAGTGGTGAGTATGCTGATATGGCCAATCTGACAAAAAGATTTCAGAAAATGGTTCGCAAAAATGGAGGAATTCCTAAAAAAGGGCATCTCCAGCAGACCAAAAGGCTATGCCTTGTGTCATAAATGCGGAAAGCCATGACATTTCATCAAAGACTGTCCTCTTCATAAGCAAGACCAGTACAAGAATAACACAGACAAAACAGCCAAGAGGAACCCGGTTCTTGACAAGAGATTCAAGAGAAAAGATGCGGCTGACAATGTTGTGAAACAAGCCCTTGTTGCATGGGGAGATTCCTCCAGTGAATCTGCGGGAGATGATGAACAAGGTGACACCTTCATGATGGCCGTTGAAAGCGAAGCAGCTGAATATGACTCTATCTTTGCCCTGATGAAAAAATCTGACGAGGATGAAGATGGTGAGGACGATAAGGTAAACTTTCTAGATGTTTAAAGAAATTTGAAGTCTTACTCTCAAAAGAAGCTTATATCTTTGGCTAATGTACTGATTGATGCTTATCATAGTCTAATCAATGACAAAGAATATGTTAACTATGGAACTAGGAGAGGTAGAGCATGAGAGAGAATATTTGGTAGTCGTAGTGGTTGATTTAAAAGAAACCATTAAGGATTTAAAGAAAGAAAAGGATGCTCTAACGGAGAAAATTGAAAACGTAAAGCATGAGAGAGATGACTTGTTGGTAGTAATTGTGGATCTAAAAGAAACAATTGAAGAATTAAAAAGGGAAAACAGTTCTGGGAACACTCAAAAGGGTAAGGAAGTCGCAAGTGAGGCACACCTTAGGCTTGAAAATGAGCTCAAAGTGATAAAATGTAGTCTGTGTGTTGAACTTAAAAGAAACAAACAACTTTAGGAATACCTAGGCAGGGTTAAAAATGACCTAGAAAAATCTCTAAAGTGAACCTGATCCTCCGATACAATCACTGCTATGTACAAAAATAACGGGGGAAACATGTAGGGAATTGGGTTCCAAAAGGAAAAGACTCCTTACAACCCACATAGCAAGTATATTACTGTACCTGATAACTGGCTTTGCACTCACTGTGGCAACACTGGGCACTTTAAAGAATCTTGTAAAGCTAGATTTCAGTCCCAACAGAAAAACAATATTTTTGCTGAAAAAGTACCAACTGCTAAGGAACATGGTCCCTCCAATAAAAAATGTATGATGCCTGCTATTACAAGAAGAAGCTTAATTCGCCCTTTCCCTCATTACAAGGTACCCAAACTTGTTTGGGTTCCTAAGTCTAATCTCCGATTTCCTTGTGCAGGGAGAAGTGAAAGGAAGAAGCCAAAGATGGTATATGGATAGTGGTTGCTCTAAGCATATGACTGGAAGCACTGATGATTTCCTCTCACTCAAAGTCCTGCAAGGAGGGAGTGTGTCATTTGGCAATGACAAAAAGGTATACATTCTGGGAGTAAGACGAGTTGGGAAGACACTCACTCACTCAATTGAGAATGTGTACTACGTGAACGGCCTGAAATACAGCCTATTGAGTGCCTCTCAAATCTGCGACAAAGGAAACAAAGTTGAATTCTTATCAAAGATTTGCACTGTCACTAATCTTGTAACTGGTGAAGTGGTTCTGATGGAAAAAAGATTAAAAAATATTTATATTGCTGATTTTGAGTCTTTGAATAATGTGGATCTTACATGCTTGAGTGTTGTTGATGATGATGTTGAGATATGGCATAGAAGATTGGGACATGCAAGCTTTTCATTGCTGAACAAGTTGGTCAAGAAGGACCTGGTCCGTGGGCCTCCCAAGTCAAGGTTCAAGGATCACAAGGTGTGTGATGCATGTGTAAGAGGAAAGCAAGTCAAGTCCTCCTTTAAGCCCCAAAAAAAAAAGTAAGCACCTCAAGGCCACTTGACTCCTCCATATGGATCTGTGTGGACCTATGAGGGTGCTAAGTAAAGGAGGAAAGAAGTATATTTTCGTCATAGTTGATGACTACTCCAGCTTCACATGCACCCTGTTTCTCATAACCAAGGATGAAAATTTTCCAGTTTTTGTTGCTTTTGTGAAGCAGATTTAAGTGAAGATGAGCCATAATGTTGTGAGTATAAGATCTGATCATGGCATAGAGTTTGATCATGCAAAATTTGACGAATTCTGTGCTAAAAATAGTATAGATCATAAATTTTCAGCTCCCAGAACACCCTAACAAAATGGTGTTGTGGAGAGGAAAAATAGGACTCTTGAAGACATGGCAAGGACTATGCTAATTAACAGTGGTGTAGCAAAAGGTTTTTGGCTGGAGGCAGTCAACACTACTTACTATTTGGTAAACAGGTGTATGATCAGGTCCCTCTTAATCAAAACCACGCATGAATTGCTGAACGGGAGGAAACCCAAGCTAACTCCCCTGAGAATGTTTGGCTGTAAATGTTTCGTTCTCAATAATGGTAAGGAAGCGCTTGGAAAATTTGATGCCAAAAGTGATGAAGGAATATTTCTTGGATATTCCTCACAAAGCAAAGCATACAAAGTCTACAACAAAAGGACTCAATGTGTTGAAGAAAGCATACATGTAATATTTGATGAATTACACGACTTATGTGGGAAAGATTCACATGATAAGATTGATCAAGATGGAGAGAAGTCAAAGGTTCCTGGGGAAGTTATTGATATGATAAATAGGAAGGTTGATCTGATGAATCAAGTCAAGGAATCCAATGAAGAAGATGCAGCAGAACGTCCAGCGAATATAGAAGAACCTGGTTCCTCCATTACAATAACTGAAGCAGAAAACTGAGTTGTTGATGTCGTGCAAGGTACACCTGATGCTAAGCAGAGAAGTGGCACTCACTCTTCCAGTGATATCAACAATGGATCCCATTCAGAGGAACTTGGGTCTTCTCACAATGAGATTCAGGTGTCTAACTGGAAGCACAAAAGTTCACATCCCCTCCAAAATGTGATCACTCCTCTTGATTTAGGGATTCAAACCAGATCAAAGACAAGAAGCTCGTTTGCCTACTCAGCCTTCCTTTCTCAAATTGAGCCCAAAAATATCAAGGAAGCATTGAAAGATGCTGACTAGATTATTGTTATGCAAGATGAACTTCATCAATTTGAGAGGAACAATGTATGGCACCTAGTTCCTCAACCTTTAAATAGAATTGTTATAGGAACCAGTTGGGTGTTTAGAAACAAGCTTGATGAGTTTGGGAATATAACAAGGAACAAGGCCAGGTTAGTGGTTCAAGGCTATAATCAAAAAGAAGGTATTGACTATGATAAGACTTTTGCTCCAGTTGCACGAATGGAAGCCATCAAAAATTCTCATTGACTTTGCATCCCATATGGAATTTAAATTGATCCAAATGGATGTCAAAAGTGCATTTCTAAATGGGTACTTAAAAGAAGAAGTCTTCGTCAAACAACCACCTGGTTTTGAGTGTCATAAGCACCCTGAACATGTATTCAAGATTAACAAGGCATTATATGGGTTAAAGCAGGCCCCTCACGCATAGTATGAAAGGTTGTCGAGGTTCTTTCTGGAAAATGGCTTTACAAGAGGAAAACTTGACAACACTCTGGTTTTGAAGAAACGAGGGAGGAACCTGCTCATTGTGCAAGTTTATGTTGATGAAATCATCATTGGTGCAACAAATGATTCCTTGTGTGAGGAGTTTGCCAAGCTTATGGGAAACGAGTTTGAGATAAGCATGATGGGGGAACTAAACTTTTTCTTGGGTCTGCAAGTTAAGCAAACCTCTAAGGGAACGATGATAAGTCAGTAGAAATATATTAAAGAGCTCCTGAAGAGGTTCGAGATGGAAAATTCAAAAACCATTGATATTCTTATTGTCACTGCCACTCGTCTGGACATGGATGAACCTGGTTCTCCTGTGAATGAAACCATGTACAGAGGTATCATTGTGTCACGACCCAAAATTTTCCACCGACAGGACCGTGATGGCGCCTAATACTTCACTTGCTAGGCAAGCCAACGTTAGAAAATCGTTAAACCAATTCCTTATTTCCATTCAGTAAATAACAATAATTAACTAAGATAAAATATAATAAGTACGGAATATTAGAAAACTGTATTAATTACTACCACCCAGAAATCAATACCCCTGTCGGGTGGCATCCCCGGCAGGTCTGCAAGAAATACCTCTGGAAAATCACGAACAACCGGCACCAAATCTATGGAAGGAACCTCCGCACTAGAATCGCGAACATAAGCCAAATAAGCTAGACACCCCTTCTCGACCATATGTCGAGCCTTCACATAAGAGATAACCCTGCTGGCAGAATGGCCAAGATTCCCTCTCCACTCTAATCGAGGCAACTCCCGCAAGGCTAAGGTCACCGTCTTGGCATGATAATCTAGTATGGCATGATAAGTTGACAGCCAATCCATACCCAGTATGATATCAAAATCAACCATGTCACGAAGTAGAAGATCTACACGAGTCTCAAGACTCCCAAGGGTGACCACACACAAACGATAAAAATGATCTACAACAATAGCATCTCCCACTGGTGTGGACACATACACAGGAGCACTCAAAGAATCACGGGGCACAACCAAATAGGAAGCAAAATAGGATGACACATAGGAGTAAGTAGATCCCGAATCAAATAGAACTGAAGCATCTCTACTGCAAACTGAAACAGTACCTGTGATAACAGCATCAGATGACTCAGCCTCAGGCCTGGCTGGGAAAGCATAACACCGGGGCTGGGCCCCACCACCCTGAACTACATCCCTGGGATGGTCTCTAACTGGCTGGTCTCCACCTCTAACGGCCAGACCTCCACCTCTAACAGTCTGGCCTCTACCTATGACTGCCTGACCCCTACCTCTAGCTGGCTGAGCAGGTGGTGCAGCAACTGGTGTCTGGACCATGGCACGCGAACTTTGATGTTGTGAGCTTCCCGTTGCTCGAGGGCAAAATCTAGTAATGTGCCTCGGATCACCATAAGTATAACATAACTTCGACTGTTGTGACTGCTGACCCTGAAGCTGGCCCTATCGACCTGAATAATCACCCTGATAACTCTGGAGTGGAGGTGCACTAATAGGAGCTAGTGGTGTACTGTAGGCTAGCTGGTCGGAATAATGCATCTGAGGGCCACGACCACCTGAGGCACCGTGGGATGCCTGGAGCACTGAATGAAACGGTCTGGGAGGATGGCCTCTACCAAAAGTACTCCT